TTAATCTGAGGTTCACTATTAATTGTTGCAGTCCATTGATGACTGCATTCTCACTGTATAGCCACATCCTTTCACATTCTGGAGGGATCCGCAACATTGGTAGGGCTTTTGATCTTTTGCACAGGTGGAGTACCAGTATTGTGTCTCACTGTCTGTAGCAGGATAAAGCTCACCTGGCTGGTGGTACAGGAGTCCTCTTGGGATGAGGAAGGAAAAGCAACTGAGGCCTGAGTTAATTCTGGTCTGCTGGTGGGATTGAGGACATAAAAGAAATCTTGTGGGAATAAAACCTATAAAGGTCAAGCCGTGCCTGTGCATTTTGTTACAGGTTYCTCTTTTACCACCTTCCTACTGCTGCACCCCAGGGGCTCCTTTGTAAAGCACAGGAAGATGAGAGCAACTAGCTTTACTTGAGAGTTGTATTTGTGCTGAGTGTGATGACTACTGAATGGTAACTGTTAAACTAATTGAAGACTTCCAAGTGGAATTCTGTCAGGACATTCCATATTGTTTGTTCCCAGCTGCTTAGAAGGAGAGAATAGAAAAGACTCTAGTCACTGTATAGTTCTAATATTGAACAGTGGGCAGAAGCAACAATGTGAGAAATAGCGATTAAACATAGATTTTTGACTTCTCTATGTAGTCCAACATTATATTGGGCTGTCAAATCTAAATTTGGACAAAGCCCTGGGCAAATACGGTTTAATTGCACTTGTTTTTTTGAGAGCAATCGTGTGACCTGTAGAGAGCCCTTTGAACTTAACCTATATTTATTGAAAGAAGTATAGGCAGGCTTTAAAAACTACTGTTTTGTCTTAGGTTTTAATGCATCTAAGATTTGTTAGGGTTTATTTCTGTTGCTCCTGTRACTGTCAACAATCTTGTTCATTCCCCTTTTTTAACTACTAAAAAGCTAATCTTCTGTTCATCGCAATTTTTTTTTTACTGGCACTGTAAGCTGTGGCACAGTTTATTCCATGTAGGAACAAATTTGTTAACAAACTTACCCTTATTTTGCCATGCAAGAGAAATTACAAATAAAAAATAAAATTGCATTTGTATCAGCCTTCTGACTAAACTGGCTGTCTACCTCTGCATGCATAATCCATTTGCATCATGATTTTTTTTTCATAGCATCCGATTTGAGGAAAAGTTTAGTGTCTCATGGTCTCTGAAGTCTCCTATTTTTACAGGAATGTAAGTTCTGAAATTATTATTCTAAAATTACAACAACATAAGACTGCAAAATTTGTTGGAGTGTTTCAGTTAGTAGAAGGGAGAAACACTTTTAATCTGGTCATGTTTAATAAACTTAAAAAATAAACCCTTCTGATAAGCCAGGTTTAAACTATTTCATACCAAGTGCTGTTTCTCTTACACATCTGAATAAACTATTAGACACTTGAATATGATATTTGAGTTTTTACGATGTAAGCTTCTATGCATGACATCTTACTTTGAAGTCAGCCAACTTTTGTCACTGGATTCCAGTCTGAACTGAAATGGGGCAGTCTTTCACTGATTCTCACTTGGCTGTAACCATTTAAAGCTTTTTGCCCTTGAGTACTATGTAATCTTGAAAGCAGCATGCAACGGATGATCTCAATCATATCAATAATCTTGTGTACCGAACTATTTAAATCTGTTTGGGGTATTTTAGGAATACCAGATGGGTTTGGTTAGCTTTTGCTGTAAAATGAAAATTAATGGCATTAGACAGTCAGGAACCTTCTGGCAGTATTTCAGCTGACCCATCTGTGCCATTTTTCCCATAACTCYATTTATGGACAGGATGGGTTCCCTCCTGTTCTCAGGCATGCGTTACTGCTCCAGTGTCCGGCCTGCTCTGTGTCTGTGGGTGCCTCAGCTTGGACCTGCCCATGTTCTGCAGAAGACATGGGGATAGATAGGGGTAGCAGTAAAGAGGCACCACACTGCAGTGTTARGCTTTCTGAATTTCCCAAACTGCAGCAGAATTGGCTGCTGAAGAAAGCCACTTCTGAGGCTGATGCGTCCTTACAGCTGAAAGATGTTCTGTTACAGGACTCTGGAGAAATATGTGTAATGCACTCTGACTTTTAGATAACAATAGGCCACAGTGCTTTTGAATTTGGCTGGTTTATATCTTTATTTTTGGCAAGCAGCCTTGTAGTTTCTCAGTCAGAACAAAAGTTGCTGTGTGTGCATCTAGATTCACATCTAATTTGGTTTTCAGTGTGCCTCTCAGTCTTGAGCTAAGCCTTTTCCATAAGGTGCCCAGACAYTGTGTATGGAAAGGTCATTCCCTTTCTGTTCCACAGCAAACTGAAAAGCCTGTTTCAAAACAAGTCTTTCTCATTTACTAATTTAAATTATTTGTCTCAAACTACACAAGCATTTACTTAATGATGTGCACTTTGTTTCTGGGGAGGGAATGCAGAATCCTGTGTTTCTGAACAAATCTCTACTAAGACTGCTGGTTGTCATCCCTGTCATCTGGAGAGGGAGTATGTTCAGAGAGGAGTATTTAGATAGTTCATATTTCCTCTCCTTCATTTGTTTCTGAAGATGGTTTTTTTAGCTTAAAAAAAACCAAAAACACTGAATGTTAGGAGGCTTGGAAATGATAGTTAAAATGGGTTTTGCATTTTTTTTTTAAATATTTGAATTTCAGGTTCTGTTTTGGGAGTTCTTGAAATGTCAAGGTTATTTTTTGATACTGTAAAACAGTACTTTTTAAACAAGTGGTCCTGTGTTTCTAAATATGGTAATTACAAAATACTAATGAGTTTATTTCACTTCCTTCTCATATCACACTTTTTGAAGGAAATGAGAGCTTGAGCATAAAAAAGTCATGCCTGTTGGTAACTGAAGTAGCAGCAAAAGAGAATGCGTTCATGCATTCTTCCGTCTTAATGGGGGGATTTGGGGGTTTTGTGGGAGTTTTGTTTGTTTGTTAGGGCAGTACAAGCATATCATTTTAGATAAGGCTTTTTAGAGAGTATGTCTTCAAAAACCAAACAGTCCCAAATAAAAACCTGTCCCTCCCTCCTTCCCCCCCCACAAAAAGCAGTTGTTTTGTGTTGCTTTAGCTTTCTTTTTCCCTTTAGAAAACATCCTGACCAATATTATTCTCTTTGAGTGTGAATTGAGAAGAGTGCTCCGTTTTTTTTTGTAATACATGGTGTGTGTGTGTGTGTGTGTGTGTATACACGCCTGTGGGAGAATCTCTGGATTCCAGATGAGAAGACTCCTGTAAATGCCCATCTTCAGTGGAGATTAACTTTTATTAACCAGATAGGTTCTTCATCAGCTACAGTTTTGAGAAGCTAATCTTTAAAGTTAGGCTAATTTTACGTATCTACTAGTAGGCTTCAGGTTAGCACCTGTAGCATGTTAASTTCTTGAGTCCTTAGGCTGATGAAGATGTCACCATGATCACAGCCAGCTTGTATTTCACCTTCCAGATATGGAATAAATAATGTTATGCCCTTCTGTCCATCCCTGCAGTAGCTTAATAGCTGCCAAACTATGTCTTTTGTCTAAACAGATCACGATCTTCATGAAAGTTTTCTTCTGGTATGTCTGATGACTGTTGAGCAGTGATCCTTTAAATTACAAAATAACTGAAATCACAGTATTCCCTGCATCTTGCCATGTGTTCTGTATTAAATGGTTTCTGAATAATCTGTTCTTTATTTTGGACAGAAACAAGTTGAAAGTTGACCTGTACGTCCAACAATACTTTTATGATTTCTCTGAGTAAATGGCAAACTTGATCAGATGTAGTGATACAGTTTTATTATTAACTTTGGCATTGTGTTGTTGTTGCCAGAACTAAGAATAATACCAAAACTAGTCAGCTCTAGCTCAGTTTTCATTCATGGTTAAAGCTAAACTGCAGGTGAGCTGTTTCCTTCTTCTGACCATCCCTCCCACAACCTCAACTTACAGCTAGATCAGAACACTCCTCRTGCTGTGTGGGGTGGATTCTTCTCTGCGTGTTGGTCCAGACCCTGCATACCCAACTCTGGCCACATTTCCATGGTCCTTCATCTGTCTGATTAAGGAGTAATGTTCCCCAAAGATTTAAAGAGCCAGAGTGAGACAYTTTAAATTTACAAATACAAATTTTATAATTTGTGTTATATGAATTCATGTAACATAAATTTGTTTTACATCTCAAACTTCAAGTGGCTGCTATTTGGTTAAATTTACTGATGTGTTGTTATATTGTGTGAATATCTGGGCTTTACTCTGCACTGTTTTTTATATTCTCTCTTATTTCCTCTGCATTATGAATTGGTCATCCATCCTTTTGAAACCCTTTGTGTATCGCTTCTGGTCATTGCTTTTGCTARCTGTGCTGTTTCTCTTTCCCCTCAGAAAGTAAGCTGGTGTCAGTCCCGCTGAAATGTAATTGTAAAGGGTATGTGCTACTCTGGGTCACTATTAAGAGTAGCCTCAGATGTACTTGGAAATATTAGACAAATCACTTGGTTGTTTTCTTTCTATCAGATACCCAGGTTAGTGCCTATAAACATGGGGTCTGTTTATTTCATTATCTCCTGTATTTTGCCAAGTCATATACTGTATAGAGAGTCATATACAGTCACTTTCTCCTGTCAGCTGGATTAAATGTCCTTTGACTTGAGGTCTCCTGGCCTCACTCACTGTGGTTTCACAGCCCCAGACCTAGCGAAGGGCTGCAAAGAATCTGCTTCTTCCCTTGCGTGAAGTTTGTAGAGCAAGCTAGACAAGTCATAAGAAAAATACTTKATTTTGACTAAGGCCAACTCTGCCTGTTAGCACAACCCTGTGAACMGGCTTGTGTGAACACCTCTACTTGTATAGGTACAACAGGAAGGTGAATGGACTCCACAATGCTGCCCTTATGTCAGCTTAGTCAAAGGCTTAACCTTGTGCTTTAGCTGTGGATTCCAGGTTATAAAGGCATCAGTACGATCATTCATGCTGCATAATTCTTGAAGCTGACTGTAGCCATCTTGCTCTTTACACAGATGGGCTTGGGCCATGAGGAAGGATTTGGTGCCCCCTGCTTAAAATGCAAGGAAAAGTGTGAAGGWTTTGAGCTTCATTACTGGAGGTAAGTGACACCACATGTATCCTAAACTGTGACTCAGCATTGCAGACTGCCGTGTGTATGCAAATGTCTAATTAATGACTTCTGCTCTCTCTCTCCATTAAACTAGTAAGATGCTTTTAAAAAGCTGACACGGTTCAGGGGCAGAACTTCTCAGCTGCATTACAGCAGAGTATCCAATCACCTGTGAGCCTGTATTTCATCTGCCTAGAAGTGAATGGTAGTACTTCTACTGCAGCATTTGCTTCGGTTGACAAAATAGTTAAAATAGATTTGTAAAAATGTGTATAGCCTTACAGAAGACAGAACACTGTCTTTATAACATGGATGATCCAACTCAGTTCAAGTTTAACCACTAATTTCATTGCTACTCATCTGTAAAAGATAAGTGTTGAAGTAAAAATTGTAATTAGAGAAGCAGTTTACACATTAGGAGAAAACTAGGGGTAGGGATTGTCCCCAGTCAGCAGCCATGCACAACCACAGCTTCTTACTACCTGTCCCAAACATCAGGGTGGGAGACAAAAAAGGAAGAACAAAATTGAGGAAACTMATGGGTTGACATAGTTCATAGGTGAAATGGTGAACAAATGCAAAAGAAATCAGTGGCCATCYCCCACCAGCAYGCTGATGCCCAGCCAGTCTCCAAGCAGTAACTAGTTTAGAAGTCAGAAACCCTGCTTTCTTCATTCTCTGCCTCTGTTTTATTGCTGATCATCACATTATATAGCATTTAAACCTCATTGACCAATTTGAGTCGGYTGTGCCCCTTCCCAGCTTCTTTACTTGCTGAGGTGGAGGCAGAGTTCAAAAACGAGAAAACTTTGACTTTATGCCAGCAATTCTCAGCAGCAGCAAGTGCTATCAAGGCTATTTTAGGTACAAACCCAAAGCACAGCCCCCGAAGGAAACAGTGCCTTCCATAGGAGCCAGATGCAGCACTCTTAGTGCGGGCTGTGCAAGAGTGACACTGCCCTCTCCTGGGGACAGCCGAGGAACTTCAGCATATCACGTAGCTCTTGGTCTGATGCACAAAAAATTATGTTCCTCAAAGAGCCAATAYGTAATTTGTTTTTGTTTTTCCACACAAACGACCCTCAGTTCTTCCTCTGGGGAGTCAGATTATAAAATGCACAAAAATACAAGTATACCTATCTAGTAGCAGGGCTTTCCATGGAGCTGCTAGGAGTCAGATTATAAAGTGCACAAAAATCCAAGTTACCTATCTAGTAGCAGGGCTTTCCATGGAGCTGCTACACTCTTCTCTGTAGTGGGAATGTTTGAAATATATCTCTTGGTAGGGGATGCTATTTTAAGCATTTGTGCTGTAAAGCTTGACACACTGTAGGCAGGTTTTACAGGTGCAGAACTTTACATTGAGGCTAATATAGAAATGGTGGTAAACCAAGTCTTTAATARAATTTATTCCTAAGTTTTGAAATTCTGATAGCCTCAGTGTTGTGAGCTGAACACAAAAGGAGCAAAATGAGAGATGTGGTACACAATGATAGTTGAATGGATAACAATTACTTGGTTTATTTTAGCATGTTAATAATTTTTGCTTTTAAAATTGTCCTCAGAATCATGCTTCTGTCTAAGTGTAACAGTAGGAGAAATGGGGGAGGTCTTAGTTCAGTAATTAGATTTATTTCAGACTGCAAAAGAACCTCCACACACATGCAGTGGCTCAGGCTGAATGTAAGAGACTCAGTTACACATTCCTCTTTGGAATGTACTTCCCACTAGAGGGAAGTATGGGACAGGAGACAGAAGCTGCAAAAAGTAGGAGTGAAGGTTCTGATGTGTCTTAGTTGCTTATATTCCAGAATGTGGTAACTGTCTCTGGTGTGCCTTGCCAAGATATTAAAAAAATCTTCCAAATCCAAGAATCTTAGGCTTGGGAATTATCTTCTTCAGCATCTGGCTTCAGTGTACAGATACAATCCATGGAAGGGAGAGCCTTAAGTTGGTTTTAAGATTTTCTGATACTGCATCTGTCAGGAAAGTGCTGAGATGCTGTTCAAAGCAGCTGCAATCCTATAGCTGCATTAATAGCAAGAAAACGGAAGGAATCACGGAATCATAGACTTGGATGAAGGGGTAAAGKGCCTTCTCAGTAAGTTTGCTGATGACACAAAGCTGGGAGGAGTGGATGATACCCCAGAATGTTGGGAGCCCTTCAGAAGGACCTGGACAGTTTGGAGAGACAAGCAGAGAAGAACCATTTGAAATTCAACCAAGGCAAATGTAGGGTCCTGCACCTGGGGAAGAATAATCCCTTGCACCAGCACAGGCTGAGGGCTGACCTGCTGGAAAGTACATCTGCAGAGAAGGACCTGGGGCTTCTGTGGACAACAAACTGTTCCTGAGGCAGCATTGTGTCCTTGTGGCCAAGAAGGCCAATGGTATCCTGGGGTGCATTCTGCATGTGGGGTGCTGTGTCCTGTTCTGGGCTTTTCAGTACAAGAGAGACATGGAGCTCCTGGAGTGGGTTCAGTGGAGAGCAGCAAAGATGATTAAGGAGTATCTCTCTTAAGAAGAAAGGCTGAAGGAGCCGGGTCTGTTGAGCCTCAAATGACAACTGAGAGGGGACCTCATGTCTATAAGTATCTGAAAAAAGATTGTCAAGGGGATGGAGCCAGGCTCTGCTCAGTGATGCCAAGCAATAGAAGAGGCAATGGGCATAAGCTGATGCTCTAGATGTTCCACCTGAATAAGAGGAAGAGCTGGTTTGCTGTGCAGGCAGCTGAGCACTGGGCCAGGTTGCCCAGAGAGGCTGTGGAGTCTCCCTCACTGGAGATATTCAAGAGCCATCTGGACACAACCCTGTGCCACGTGCTTTAGGTTGGGCCAGACGACTCACAGTGTCTCCTTTCAATCTTATCCCTTCTGTGATTCTGTAATAAGAAGAGGTTAGTCTTATAAGCCTCAGGACTTGCGAGGTATTTGTTGAGGATTTCTCCATGCTTGCTGCTGCTGCCTTCTGCCACTAGGAGCCAGCATRTGAAGGATCATGATCTGTCTTACTTTTCCTCTCCATACACCAAAACAGCGAAAATCCGGAGGATGGTGGACACTGGAATTCTTTGATGCTTGATGTCAGCAGACMTTCAGGACACAGGAATTCATCACTTAAGAGGAAAGAATCTGTATACCTTTCTTTCTTGTTCTTTCTAACTATTTAATACACACAATCAAGGCATTATTTACTGTCTTTTATAGTGATACACAACTTCTCATTCTGCAGATTTTGGAGTTTCCTCCCTATCTTCCATATTTAGAATGGGAAAAGCTTTTCAGATTGCAGAATTGTCTGTGGAGGAGCATTATTCCACTGATGAGGGCCTGAGAGCTGTGAAGACATAAGCAATAGTCCCTAACACCTCCTTTAGTAGAGATCTTGCTGAATGTCCTTAACTGAAAGGAATGCAGGTGGAGAGAACAAGAAGTTTTCATTGCTTTCCTCTTGATAGAGTCAAAGGAGATAAAATTGTCTAAGCATAAATGTTTTTATATATTTATATGTATGTGGGTGTATATAACAGCAGTTGTTTTTTCTTGCATGTGCGAGGTGTTCACTTTTAACACCAAAGATAACTGACACTTTGTTTTTATCAGACAGACCTGTGAAATACAATTTTGAGGTAATGGAATGGGGTCACTTCAGGTAGRTAGCTTTGTTATAGTCAAAGAAATGACCAGCCAGTCTATTCTTAAGAGAAGTAATTGGCCCTATACCTTCTGCAGAGAGGACAATGAGTGACTAATGAGCAGGATTCTGCTGTGGCAACTTAATGAAACAAGTTAGGACTAAATTTTAAACAGTATTCAGGAAGAGTTATGGGTCTAAATGTCAACTGGATATCTTTGAGTACTGGAAATTACTTGAGAGGTTATAAATCAGGACTGGATACCTTTTTGAGGCTGTTAGCAGCTGTATAGATACCTTTATTTTGGTGAGATCTAGGGGGAGYATTGGGGAGTATGGAAAATGGCAACAGCATAGGGTATTTTCTTTTACTGAGATATGTTGACATCAGCTGTGACTCGGCATTCTCCACATACTTTCTATATTGTTTTGTCCTGTATTCCAGGGCATAATGGTACATGAGTTCTAATGCCACTACTACATTTTTAACATAGACCCTGTAACAGCTTCTTGCAGACCCTTGGCAAAGAATTTTAACTTTGAAAGARCAAGGAGATTAGACTGAACACTGTACACAGTCAAATTCTTAATTTCAGTAGGTGCAGGGGTGGGGAAGATTAGTGAGTGCTTCATTATTTTCAATGCAAATATAAAGCGCAGTAGTTCTATGCCAGTTTTCACAGTGAGTCCCAGGAAGGACCTAAGGACAAATTGTATGCTTTCACTTCTTTGCAACTACCTATTTATGAGGAAAGCAAAAAAAATCTCGCATAGATACTGCAGTGAACCATGTCAAGCCTTTAGGGTAGAACCGAGAATGATAGCAGCTGAGTAAGGGTGTTCATCTAACTGAAAGCAGAAACAGGATCTCTAAACTGTTCTACATTCTGAAAGAGTAGTATCAGGAAAAAAATACGCAATTTCATGATACAACATGAGTGAAAATAAGGTGCTCTTGTGGCTTTTCCAGTACATGTGAAAGTCTGAGGATGAATTCCACCACAGCTTGCAGGGGGTTGTCTGGTCTCTGCATGCTATCAATGCTGCTCTACTGTACTTGGATGCTGTAGAGTGGGGAGAATTCCACAGCCTGTCATGTGGCAGTTGTGACCACAGCAATACAGCAATATGAACTGCTGTTGCRGAGGTCTGTCTTGTTAGCAGAGCAGTTCTGGACAGCATGATCATGCTTCACTTGCAGGGTACCTGAGAATRTCTGTTTGTTCACCATTGTTAATAAATCACATGCTATCAAGACAAGACTAAAACTGGGGGTTGCTATTGCTAAAGATTTAAGTTGAAAAAGTAAAGGAAGTGTCTGGTGTCACTGTTCAGATGGACCAATTGCTTCAATTCCAGTAGCATGTGTGCTGTGAAGCATGATGATCATGATGTAAATCACTAAATCTGCAAAAAGCRAGGTCTGATTCTGTCACCTGGTATTAGATTTCAAAGAAGATATGATTGAGAACTRGTAATAAGGTATAATCACATGCATGCCCTGAACGATGAGCACAAGTGAATATGAATTGCTTTATTAGTRTATTAAATAGTCTCTAAGTATTAGCTGTGTAAAAGGACTTGTGTACAGGTGCTAAAGATCGTGCAGAATTTTATGTTTCAAGTACTTGACATGCACAGTACAGCTTTTAGGCTTAATGGGCAATGCTAGTTCATGCTTGAATGTTTGGGTAAACGGGGAGATTGCAAAGTGATTAGTGTTTAGTAGCTATCCAGATAAGTATCAGATTTGAAATTCTRTTCATCTTTCCTGTTGCGGAAATGATTTGGTAGCTGTCAGTAAGCCTACACCTCAATTAGTGATCTCTTTAGTACTTGGGTTGCAAAGTGCAGTCACTTCTGCTTAATATTCKTATTTTGCATGAGTGGCTCATTTTTCTTGCCGTTAGCTATTTTTATTTGGAGTGGGTTTTATAACTTCAGTTACCACAATGTATTTCTGTATAACCACATGACCAGGGCAGCATCCATCACACACTGAAATTATAGTACCCCACTTCCTAAACTGGTATATATATAAGAGAGGATGTGTTTGGGGCTGGCTATGTATCACTTCAGGACAACTAGAGGTCCTCCTTCCTTTTCCATTACCTCAGGGGCCTGCTATAGTCATGGCATGTTCTTGTTGTGTTCCTGTTCCATATGTTATCTTAAGGCACCTAATTTGCCTTCAAGACTGAAGAAAGCAAGATGCAGAACAATGTTAAGAGTTTGATAGGCTTTGGCAAGAAAGGTTCAGAAGGATTTTATAGGTAGTACTTTATGCTATTTGCTGTATGAAGGATAAATAATTTGGTAAAATTCTACTCATTCCTCTTCAAAATCTAGAGACCCAGAAGGTTGATAAGTTTTCTTAGTCTTTAATAAGAAACTTTAGTTAGTATCTAGCTTCACTAATTTCTGTATGCTGTGGCTGACTGCTTTGACCTRAAGTTCTGGGGACACCATTAATTGATAATGAACTAGCTTGTCTAATCCAAGGTTCTTTCCATTACATGTCAATTGAGTAATTATGCTTAAGGTAACAAATTGCTTTCTAATATTCCTTAGCCAAAACAGTTGAAATGTGGTGTATATGAAAGAATGTAATTTATATCCAAGTAGATATACTTCTACCTTTTATGGCTGTTTTCTGTGAAAGTTCTCTCTACAGCATGTGCCAGAGKACCTCTGACTTGGTTCAGAGCTGTTTTGAAGGGCTTTGTCCATATAAGCTGTTCACTTTTCATTCATCTTCTTTTAAATGCTGTGCTTTGAACAGAACTTGGTGTAGTTACATTCTATGTATGTTTGTATGYATTTTCTTCCTTTCTAGAAAATATTTGTYTCACAGCAASCCTGTGATARTCAAATATCATGCATACAGTCAAATACATRGGAAGAAAATARTATAGTGYGTGTAACTTTGAATGTATGAAGAGCAATTGAAAAACGAAAAGCCCAAGCAAATGATTGCTGGGGAAATGAGGTTGATGCATAAAGTTATCTTATAATAAATCTGGTAGGTGACTGATTATGGATATGTATGTTTTTGTCCAACACTGAGATATAACTGAAGGAATGACATAGCATCATATTAAAATGCATTAATGTAGTCAAGTGATATCCTATGATAACAATATCTGTAAATAAATAATGTAAGTAATACAATAGGAAACATAAAGRAGGTGTTTGACATATTGCAGAAAAATGTGTATATTTCCTAATCAAAGCACTGAAAACAAGGGTTTGGGTTCCTGGTGATGTTACTACACACCCAGATGGTGTGAGATTGTAATTTTGTTTCTGTTTCCATGAATTTCAGAAAAATATGCCGCAACTGCAAATGTGGCCAGGAGGAGCATGATATCCCATCAAGCAATGAGGAGGATCGGAAAGTGGGGAAACTCTTTGAAGATACAAAATACACAACACTTATTGCAAAGCTGAAGAATGACGACAATCCCATGTACAAACGTAATGTCATGATACTGACCAGCCCAGTGCCAGCCAAGAATGTGTCCATCAATACTGTGACTTACGAGTGGGCTCCTCCTGTTCAGAATCAGACACTAGTAAGTCCAACTCACTTTTCTTCATGTTCAAGGCAGGAGTTAGTGGGAGATAAAGTAGTAGAGTTTACTGGAAGGATGACTTTGCCTCTTGTAGTCTTCCTTTCTTCCTCCTCAAAACTGAAAATATGGTGCCTGTTTAATTAATCTTGCATGTGTCATCTTGCTTTATGGATGCTTSTATGTAGAAGATTTTAAAAACTAGGGAGATTTGGTAGTTTTTAATAGATAATATCAAGAGTTATCTGCTAACTCCCTGGAGTCTGACTTCTGTAACCTGCCCTTTTTNTTTTTTTTTTTTTTTTTTTTTTTTTTTTTTTAACAAACTTGAAAAATCTGCATGGAGTGTGGGCTTAAGGGAAAAAAACCCAAAACCAACATATGAATTTATGTCATTGTTTAAAGTTAAGGGGAACATTTAGTCTTGCTTATAGCTTTTACTGTATATGGTAAGAACAAGGTCTGTTGACATCTAGAAGAGCAGCTTTCTTACAATATATTTCCAGCTGAAGTAGATGAGATGGTAGATARCCTTCTCAGGATTTTACTTGACTTTTCAAACTTTGATTACTAATGTATTGTACTAAAATGTTGTGCAATCCGTGCCAGAATGAAATTATCTCAAATTATTCCTTTTTAGTGAATTAATCAAACCTTGTGCATCTAGGACTTATTTAACATTCAGTTGCTACTTTGATTTTTAGCGTTTGTCATTGCTTTAATAAAACTAGAGGCTTTTTTCTACTTGATTTACCTAGAGTTATTTCTTCAGTGGGCTGTGTGCCCCAAGCAGATTATTTCATATTCTATTTTTCCAAGACTGTACTCATGATCAGTATTTATAGGGGCAAGGTGCTATGTAAATGTTGTTTACTCAGAGAAATAATAACTCTTCTCTGTATGTTGTAAAAGGCTTAAAAGAAAGCCTRTCTGTTACTCTGGGAAGAAGCCAGTTAATCCATCTGCTGTATTTTATCTCTATTACTTTTTCAGGAGCGTAATGTTTACAGAAAGAACCTTATTTTTGACAAATTTGACTGTTGCTAAAAACAGTAGAGATTATTTTAGTTGTGTGTTTGCTTATGAGAATGGTCTGTAGTTGAAGTGMCATCTGATATCTAATTCCTCTGATTCAGGCTAGACAGTACATGCAGATGTTACCAAAGGAGAAGCAGCCTGTTGCTGGCTCAGAAGGCGCGCAGTACAGGAAGAAGCAGTTGGCAAAGCAGCTGCCTGCTCACGATCAGGATCCTTCAAAATGCCACGAGCTTTCCCCCATTGAAGTCAGGCATATGGAACAATTTGTGAAGAAGTACAAAAAAGAAGCACTCGGTGTCGGAGATGTCAAGCTCCCTGGTGAGGTGGAAGGGAGAGCTGARGAGAATAATTTGAAAAATGGTGACAGAGGTACCTCATCTACTGTTGGAGCAATGGAAAAGTCCTCAAGTCAAAAAGCATCTCAGTATGTAAGTATAAGAAGGCAAAGATAAAACAAAAGGTATATTATTATCTGAGTGCTCTATTTAGTCAYTTTAGGCTAATTAAATTGTTTGTTATTTTGTAATAGCAAAAATCTGGGGAGGAAAAGAAGGGGAACTGGGAAGTGTGAATGTCTGCATAGAGCCCTGATTTCTAACAGTATTTAATGCATTACAGCAAATAATTTCCAAGGTGACACCTTCATCCTCGATGCAAAAACATCTTAGCTTGGAGGTGGTATATTAGGATGTCCTTTACAGTATAATAATCCAAAAGCTTATGTTGTTTTGTGGACTAATGGTTATATTCTTCTCGAAGGGTATAGTTTAATTTTAGAAGCTTTTCTTCCCTTTCTTGGAAGAGCACTAAAATTACCCACTTGTCAAATTGTGTTTACAATTAACTGAAACTCATGAATAGTAAAACCTTTCCATCGTGTGTCCAACAAGTTGGGCCATACAGTGACTCTTTCGATGAGCCTTCTTTTCATATTCAGCTCCATTTTCTCATGTATTTTCTTTCTTTGGCATCTGATTTTTCCTTGTAATAGCTCGAAGAAAAAYGGGTTATGTAAAGTTACCCAGTTTTCATTGATACTTCAAAAATTATAGCTTTCATCAAGTATTTCTGACATAACTACTGCTGTGCATGTCTCAACTACTAATTACAAATCAGTTTAGTGAAGGTAGCCATTAACTTAGTAGTGTCAAAAGCTCTACGGTAAGTTGATTACTGGAAGTGTTGCTCTTATATGTATGAATCCTTAAAATTATTTCTCTGCAGGTTGCTTACAGAAAATTAATATACAAGTTCTAGATGGAGAAAAAGGTTTGCTTAACATTGGTTATAGAATGGCTTTTATAGTGGTGTTTTTTTATTGTTTCTGAACTGACCGTATGTATGACTTCTAGTGTGAAATAAAATCAACCCTTATGCTTTAGCCTTGGACATGGCCACTTAACTTAAAAATTTTCAACCTGTGTCATTCGCAGCTATTTGCTAAAATTCACTTTTTTTTTTTTCATTTGCTATCTTGTTATGGAGATTCTAAGAAACTAAAAAGTTATTTTACCATGGTTTGATTAGGTTACTGTCATTTTGTCTTAAATCAGCCTTTTGTGCTCGCTTACTTTAGCTTCACAGCTGCAATTCTTAATTTATCTCCTGCAGACTTACAGAAATAAACACCTTGCATTGTAACCAGATGATCAACTGCCTTGGACCATAAGTCAATAGCAGGAGGCACTCTGTCCTCTTGAGTAATTAAATCAGAAGGTGCTTCGTTTTACATTACAGTTGTTTATCACTTCCAAACTTTCCTACTCCAGCACCAGAATATTCTTCTTACAGTTCAAGCCAAGTATATACTATTACGGTGAACAGTGATTGAGAAAGAGGCTTGTAGGTGCTTAATAGCATTAAAAGTGAACATTTGGATTGCTTGCTTGTTACTGAGTTTAGACTAGATTAAATAATCAGGATTTAGATAAGTTATTTTTAAGTATTTTGGGAGGGTCTGATTTCTGCAATGAGACTTTGTTTCAGCTATATGATTTGGCAGTATATAAAGTGCTTTTTAACAGTTCAAAATAAATTGATACAAAGAAGAGCCGTTGAATACTTAGCAGGAGAAATGCCATACTTGTCTACACTTTTTTACATTGGTTCTGCATTTTTGCTCATCAGATTTTCTTGTACACTGTCATTCAGACTGAGTTTGAAAATATATATTCCTGTAGTTGTGATAAAAAGAATCTCTTTAAAAAAATTGATTTTCATTATAAGAATAGACCGCAATTCTTTGAAACCTGATAAATAAAAAAAAAAACAACAAAACAAACAACACTAACATCCACGTCTCCACTACTAATGTAAATATACCCATAATAATTGTCTCTGTGTTTAAGAAATAGAAAGCTTTTTCACCATGACTGAAAGTTGAATTAAAGAAAAATTAGATACACAGTATTTCATCTTGTAAGGAAGGAAATTTTTATGTACCTTTTAACCATCAAAGCTGGAGATGGTGTAAATGGTAGGCAAATGAATCACATTGCCTAGATCTGGATCTAGGCAGCTATTTAACCTTCCAGTGGACTTTTGGAGTATGAAATCTAAAGTAGAAAGGTCAGAAACCTTTATATACATGTGTATTTGCACTTTCCCTTTCATTAGTTTCCCTACATTCTATTTCTGTTCCAAGTTGTTCTTCCTCTTTTAGTGTCTTCCTACGTATCTTTTGATACTCTCTGACATCTGGGATCTGATCAATATGCCTTATAGCCAAGATACTTTATATGTATTTTATTTTTATATGTATTTTATTTTTATATGCCCACACAATTAAAGCCATTTGCAGCTGACTTGAAGTGATGTGAGTCATAGAGGAAAACCTTCCCAGGACATTCAGCCCAGTCCACAGACCAGCTGGAGTGCAGGAAATGCCAAACTGGTGATTAAACTGTAGATAAAAAAAATTTTGGTTCAGTAACATAAATCATTTCTGTTTTTTCACTTAATGGCAAGCCCCTCTCTGTAAGCAGGTATCGGGCAGAAGACCGACTRTGGATTCTCTGGAACTATTTGTAGTGTAGCTGTGTATGTACGCTTTGTGTTTATCCATAGTCACTCTCCCTGTCCTAAGATCATTAATTGCAGGCTGTTGAACAGCAGCCATGAGTGACTAGCATCCCTAGAACACAGTTTTAAACAGAATCCATTTGAAATACCTTTCTTTTTTTTATTTTCCTCACCAGTGATGCAGATTCGGCTTGGTCTTCTCATGACCTATAAGTACAGCCATTTTCTTGTCATGCTTTCTAGTCATAGTTGGTTAGCTTGGATGGAGGTTGTTCTCTCCTTGTTCTTGAATATATAAGGCTTACAGAGCATAACATGAATTTTAATTGCCAGTTGTTTGKTTTTTTTTTGAACACTGGACTGTAACTGCAGAATGTGAATATGGTGAAGTATAACAATCCTTTTAAGGAGTACTAATGCCATGCCAGTAGAATGTGCGTCATCTTGAATTAGTAAAACCTGAATTATGGCACAGGTGTATCCTCTAGCCCAACTGTCTACTCATGGGATTGAACTAATGCTTTCATTTCAGTCTGGAAAGATGGAATGTATTAAATATATTGATAATATGTAATTTTTGTAAATACACCTCTCAAGAGCTTAATTAACTTGGTAATAACCTCTTTTCAGTTCTGCTATCACTGCAAACAGAGCATGATGGAAGGTGACCCAGCTGTTTATGCAGAACGTGCTGGATATGACAAAATGTGGCATCCAGGTTGTTTTGTCTGTTGCACCTGCAATGAACTTCTAGTAGACCTGATCTATTTCTGGAAGAATGGTAACCTGTATTGTGGAAGACATTATTGTGATAGTGAAAAACCCCGCTGTGCTGGATGTGACGAGGTAGGAGATATCACAGTCCTTTCTTCTAGCACATGTTTGTTCACTGAGTAGTGATTTTTAATAAAACATTTCAGTGCAGAAAGATAATATGCCTTCATCAGCTTTAGTTGATATTTTGGTTGCAAAGAACTGAAACCAATATAGACACTGCACATTCAGGAAGATCCATAATTTGCTTTGGACTTGGTGGGGATTTTGCACTGTCTATGGGGATGTAATATGTAAGGGCAGATTGTTCTGGCAAGTCCCAGTTATGCAGCTGTTTCCCTGTCAGGGCACTAGGGGCCAAACCAACCAYGGGCAGCAACAGGAAACAGCCCTCCTGGGGCCTCTGGCATCTGCAGCTCTTGGGAGTAGCATGAGGCTTTTGGGAAACAATTAAACAATGGTGGGACCACTGGGAGTTCCTTGAAAAAAAATATCCATAAGCTAGATTTATTAAAAAGGTGCACTGTTCAAATGAATGTACTTGTTTACTTATATACATGTTTATATCTTCCTCTTAGCTAATATTCAGCAATGAATATACTCTCGCAGAAGGTCAAAACTGGCATCTGAAACACTTCTGCTGTTTTGATTGTGATTGTGTTTTGGCTGGGGTAACCTATTTAATGGTGAATGATGATCCAGTCTGCAAATCCTGCTACATGAAGAACCATGCTGCGGTAAGGTCCTTACGGATGTCTTAGTGTTGTGAGGAACATAAGTCTATGGAGCTTCAAACTCAGTCTGGGAGTACCTTAAAAGTATAAATTGAACGTGTGTTTATGCTTAAGTCAGTCATCTTCTTCCCCTTTGGAAAAAAACCCAAAAAAACAAAACAAGGAAAAAAAAAACCCAAAAAAAACCCCAAACTTTAGGCAGGCATGTATTTTGTCAATTCATAAACTTGAACAAAAGCCRCTGCTGAGGTAGAAACCTGTTGGGAAAAAACCTTGAACTTAGCCAGTGCTGAAGCAGGATTTGGTAACAGGAGGAGTAAAGTAGGTGAAGATGAGTGACACTGCTCAGTGTTTAGTTCTCATCAGTGTACTTCACTGAGCCTGTCAGAAATCAGCTTCAGCTGATCTGCTAAAAACCTATAGTGGTAACTGCAATCTAGATGCTTTTGTTTCTGTTATTTCTAACAACATGTGTTATAAAGGAGAGTGACTGACAGGATAAAGCTAGAAGTTTGAAAAGAATGGTAGTTCTTGATTTGTGGTTATGCTGGAAACTAGTCTGAGATGATGGTCCAGTCATATCTATAAGTTAACTAGCTACTAGTTGGAGGCTGAGTGTAATTGTGCACCTAGATGATTTGTATAGTAAAAGGARAAAAAAATTACTATTACTTGTTGGCAGTTAATAATATTCTGAGGTAGGTGTCAGGAATTTTTTTTTGGAGAGGCTTTTTTTTTTACTCTTAAAACATTAGCTTTCTCAATCTAAATTATAATTTGTTGAAAAACAGATTTTAAGATGAATTGCATCCAAGACTAATAACCTTTAACTGTTTGGCATTGCTACACATCTGTAAATGCCCAGCAAGATTTGTAGCTAATGTCTTCACATATTTAGCTTAATACATGAAGATATGTGCTTTTCCACATACAAGGTTTTTATGATTATTTGGGTACTGGGAAATCCTAACCATCATAACTGTCTAAGCTTAGTCCCAGCAGGAAATAACTTGTGTGTCCATTTTCTTATTCTGTGCCCTCAACTGAATTCTAATCAAAATACTTTAAAAATAAAGAAAAAAATCAAAAGTTGGCAGACTTTTAGAAAAGACTTCTTTTAACACCTGCCTCCCTCATCCAAAAACATTTTAGAGTTTCAGGTTTTATTTGACTTGAAGAGAGCATGTGCGTGCTTAATTTCAGTGTTATTTTATTTCTAAACAGATCTGCCAAGGCTGTCATAACGTTATAGATCCAGAAGTTCAGCGTGTGGCATACAACAATTTCAACTGGCATGCTACGCAGGAATGCTTCTTGTGCTCCTGTTGCAGCAAGTGTCTAATTGACCAGAAGTTCATGCCTGTGGAAGGGATGCTTTTTTGCTCAGTGCAATGTAAGGAAAAGATGATGTCATAAAAGGTGATGTCATAAAAGAAGATATGCACAGAACTAGTCAAGTATTGCTGTGTTCCAAAGGCTCTTGCATTTCTACTGTAAAATATAAAGTGTCAGGGCGTTTAAAATGATTGAAAGTATTAAATAGCATTTCCCAAAGATTTTTTTTTTTAGTGTCCAAAACTTCCTATGTAATCTTTATTTCTTAGCTGTAAAAATACTTCCTTTTCTGGAATACTGAGTCTTATTTCAAATTACTTCACATCCCAGAAATATTAAAAAAAAATGTTACAAACTCTATATTTTCTAAGGGAGCTCTTCACTGTGAAGAATCTTTTTGCTGTATCCTGTCTAATCGAACAAGAAAATGTGAAAATGCTCCAATTTATCTTGTTTTGTATGATAAATGTAACTCTTTCACCTTTGGTTTCACTAATTTATCATTTTTATTATTTTTCTGCTTTCATCAAGCACTTTAAACAAAGTGATCAGTTTTACTGCCATGTACAGCTTTGTTCTCCTAACTTCAAGTARGGAGAATGACACTTAAAAAAATATTTGCCTTTAATAATTTCCTTGGATTTGACGCATGGTTTCTTGGGGGATAGTGACTATTCATATGTCTAGTTTTGAAAGTAACTTCACCAATGTAAAACTGTTGGCTTATGTTTCTTTCTTACAGCTGTTCATGCCTGGAAAGGGTTTAATTTTATGAATACTGAAGTTATGTTATAGATTGGTGATTGGGTGGGTGTTGGTGTTAGAAAATAAGAGCAGGTTTTGCTTAGATTAAGARAAAAAACCCACCAGAAGTAATGGGTATCACTTTTAGCCTTTCAGAACTAACTTCTGTTTTATATCATGAATGTTCCTTCCATAAGTTGTGCCTTCTGTCAAGAGGRATGTGGCACACAATACTGTATGCATTTCCAAGAATGTATTTCTGCAAATGGATCCTGCTTAGGCTTTTGTTTTCGAAGTTCTGAACCAAAGGACAAAGAAGTCTTTCCCAAAAGACTTACAGTATTTGAGTGAAAAAATTCAAAGCTGTGCATTAGCTTTGCTTACTAGATAAACCAAATGTGTGTCTTTTTCTTAAGAATTACAGACCTACAGTGAAGCTTCTTATCTTTGTGCATAACAGTGAATTGGGAGTCTTTGGCCTAAAAAAAATAAAAATTAAAAAAATCTATGCAAGTCTGTGTTCAGTTCTTGTAAATTTTATGGTGATTGTATTGCAACACTTCAAAATAAAATTAGTGTTTTTAACTTAAGTTGTCTACTAATTCTGTTCTTGTTAAATCCCCTTCAGGGAGGCAAAGAGGAAGGAAAATGTTTCCATAGTTTGCTTTCACTTGGATATTATTTCCAAAAACCTGAAGGCCTGTATTTACTATACAGTGTTTACTGTCTTATGCATCATTGTTAATGTGCTTRTAGGCAAAACAGTGTTTGTTCCAGCAAATGCACAACTTCAGAACTTAGTGTTATTTTTTGTTCATATAAACTATTTTAAGACCTTGAATGGGAAGTTTAGCATTCATGCATGTGAGGAAATGTGCTGAGAAAATGAAGTGCTTTGTGATCCTTCAGAGTGCTGCAAAAATAACGCCCATGGAGATACATTGTGATGTTTTATGTTGTCTAAGTCATAAACTTTACATGAATGTTCTGGAAGCCCTGTACAGCTTTTCTTAGGGRGCCTGAGGAAATACAAAAAAAAGTCCATGTATTTCAGCTTATACCGGTAGGCTGTATCCTTGCCAGATTTGCAGATTTAAGCCAAGGAACASCAGAATGTCTCAGTAAGAGAAGGTTTTTTTTCCATGAAAGTGCTATTTAACCTGTAGCAGGTCATGTATTTTAACCTGTGCAGCACATGGTGTGAGAATGCTTCTTGGGGATGGGATAAGGTCTAATTTAATTATTMTCCATACAGATGACCTAATAGTGATAGGGTGTTACGTGTCTTGAGTACATCTGCCCTCATCCTCTCAATAGCATCTCTTCTAGAAGATGCAGCTGCCCGTTGTACAGAACTGTGARAAGATCTTTTGCACCTCTCCTTGCCCTTCCCCTGCCACCCTTTGTAACACTTTCTCATTAATGTGATTACTTGCACTGATAGCAGTCATACTTTTCACTTTTAATCTTGTTTTGAACAGTTTTGTTTATTAATCCTAATTGTTGCATGTCCTTCAATTTAAAGGCTGACCAGGAGATATCCCAGGGCTTATTTATTCCATCTGGACACTGTTGCTAAGGAAATTTATGTGAAACCAAACMATTTCAATAGTCTATCAGTTTCTGGGACTGACGTTTTCCATGCCTCTTCTGAAGCATGTTGGCTTGCTGGCTTTAGTATCTTGAGTATCTTCCCTTACATGCTTGGTCCTTTCTGGCTCTCCCTAGAACCTGATGCATCCAGGTGTTTCTTTTTTGATTGGAAAGGATCATGTAATAAGAACGTCAAGTATAATGTACTGGTGATGTACAGAGTAGACAAAGATACTGCTCTGTGACTACAAACAGGTCAGAGATGGCTAGGAGTGCTAAACTGTCCTCGTAATGAGCTAGCAAGGAATTTATGATCCTGYAGATAATGCTTTATATGTTAGCTGAAAGACATGTCAACATTCTGGAGCTCAAAAACAAGGAGATTTCATTCTGTCACTGTCATAATAAAAACATTGGCAGTGAACTGTTGGGGAYTTTTCTGTTGCATTTTTTTGTTATTTTATTAGAGGCTGCTTTGGATCTATTTGTCTTAATAAGCCAAGAATAGAAGCTGGAAGCTTTTGCATACTTCAGTAATAAAAATATATACTTTCCAGATGAAATTTTGACCTCTCTTTGCTTAAGAGTGGAACTTAGTTCCTAAGAAAAATCATATAAGCAGTCATTTTAACAACAAAATCTTTTTATTTAGGAAGAGCTATCCTGTGGGTCTGTAAAGTTGAGATTGATAAAAGCTTTGCAAAAACTTTAAAAAACAAAGCTAAGGAAATGCATATTTGAATTAGTAACATTTAAACATGGTAAGAATCTAACTTTTACTGAGATTTGGATTGCATTTCAAACTTAGTATGGTTATGCATATGTTAGAAATAAAAGATACTTTAAGCAGGTCTTATCTGTATTTTTTACCTCTGGAAATCTAAAGTTTGTGTATTAAAAGACATGCTAATGAGCAATCAACTCAGCAACTTCCCATTTGCTTGCAGAATTACTGGTTTTGAGTTTTATGTAACACAGTTAATGGTATGAAGCAAAATTATCTCACTTTGTTGTAGTAATAACCATTATCACAAAAGCTTTTGCTTTCAGAACTAGAAGTGCTTGAACACTCTAGACCGTCTGATCCCAGAAAACTGGTGAAGTAGGGGTGGCAGAATGGTAACATTTTGCTCATCAGCCTCTGCCAAGTTTAGCATGGGTTTGGAATGCTAGGGCTAGAAATGGGTGGCAAGAAGGAGGTTGGCCAGCCAGAAAAGGGTCAGCAATTCACCTGGAAGTAACCTCTCCAAGGGAACAGGGACACAATGGCTGTACTGAGACAACAGGCTGAAGGGTGCTCRTGTAGGTTGCAGTTCAAGGGCAGAAATTCAGAGGTCAGGTAGAGTGTCCTCAGGTCCTGGGTGTGCTCTTCCACCACAGCAGTTCCTTGTTGAATCTCAATGGAAAGCCATCTTAAAAACCACCTGCACAAGAGCAGTCTTCTAGGGCCCAAGTAGTCCTCTCTTTCCCAGCCCAAGTAAAACAGTGCCAGAGAAGATTCCAGTCTGATTCACATCAATATATATGAATGCTTTTGTGTGGTGAAAAAGTGTGGGAGATGCCAATAGAAAATCTTTTGCTAGGCCTCCCCACTTCTTCATGTATCAGAACTGTGGAGTGCCCTGTTTTATCCTAGAAGTGAGAGGAGCCCAATCCAACCCTCCACACATACCCATAAGGCTCCGTTGAGTGTAAATGTGCTTTTCATTATAGTTTTTGGTGTGAAACACAGGGCAGATTGGTTCACCTTCTTTTGTGTCTCYGAGTGAAGTGTTTGCTTCCAGAAGTCTGGATTCAAGGCTGTCCTCAGGCATTTTATCTCCAAATTCTCCTTCACAATTTCTGGGAGAATATACCAGCCATCATGCTGTGGTATCAACTCCAAGTAAGTACTTTCATATCATGTAGGTAGAGCAAAGCAATTAAGAATTTCATAGTCAAACTACACATGATACAGTTAATGATTTTTCAAGTTAGCTAAATTGCACCATTGAAGTTGTATTGCTGYGTCATTAACAGTCAGCAGTGAGTAGAGTCACACAGAAGTAGATTTGGTGATTTTTGTCTTGCAAATAGCTGCTTGTTAATGGTATTAAGTTGGAGCCTCTCTACACTTAGAAAGGTTGTAATTTGTCATCCACATTCATGTATTGCATCTACTACCTTATGCTTCAAAGTACTGAGGCTGAAAAAGTCTATATATAGGCCAGAGCCTTCTACCTCTGTTTTTACTCAATCCTTCAGTAAGTAAGTAAATTGAGTTTATTAATTAAGCATAAAGCCAAAGAAAGTTACTTTATAAAGTGAAGTGTACTGCCAAAGAGGTCCTACAAGTAAGTGTTAAATGGAAAACATAATCTAATTATCATCAAGGACTGAAAATAACACGTTCATTTTTTCCATCTCCTTATAACATGATGGGTAAAAGAGCTTTAGGGARCAAAAGTCCCAAACCATCCGAGCCAGGACTAGGCTCAGATTGTACACTGCCACCCTGCGTTCACTTGCCTAACTCAGAGGAAATGAGCCAGATGGGTTTTACCTCTGGCGAGCACTGAGGCAATACCTGCTTCACCAGAGCAGCAGCGTTGGGTTCTGTGGTTGCTGTGAGCAATCACAACAAAATGTAACAGATCAGTTTCCCCCTTTGAGTCCCCCCTGAACAAGTGAAGAAAGAACCAAATAAGAGGATGTTTCTGCTACAAATTAGGCCCGGCATTGTTCAGATTTGGATTCATGCCCAGCATTGTCATAAAAAATTTTTGCACCCAGTTTATGAGAAACTAGTCTAGCTTCATATGTTCACTTTTCATTTGTTAAAAAAAAAAAATTAGTGTCACAATAAAGCATCAAGAATATTTATTGGTTGCCCTGAATGAGTTGTTTACATGAGTCAAGACTTGATTTTGATGTTGGCAGTGAGTTGTTGGAAGCAGCCACCTGATGTTCCTTGGTTGCCCAGCAGATGCCGTCTGTGCTGCGCTCAGCGCTCGGGCTGCCGTGTCCACAGGGCAGGATTCTGGGAAACAGCAGGAAAATAAGTTTTGAGCTGAAAGAGATATTCTGAAGGCTTTAAGAGTAAGCTGAGGACAGGGCTGTAAGTCCAGGAGGCAGTGCAGAACTGGAAAACAGCATGACCAGGAATTTGGATAGGACGAAGAGGCACAGGGAAGGTATTTYAGAATGAACATGAGTGCGAAAATAGAGGAAAAAAGATGTAATAAGCGAGGGGTATAATGCTGAATCATGGAAGCCCTCTGAAATTGTTATGAATTCTTATTAAAAGACAAAAACCATGAATTAGTGAAGATCAGTTGCTCTAGAAAACAGTTGCTGTTTAATTGCTATGGGTAGAAACAATATCTTGAGGGTCAGAAACAGGCTGCAATAACCAAGGTTGTGAGATAAGAAGAGGACTTCAAGATGAAATGTTGAGGAAAGGTTGCTCTTCAGCCCTGGTGAGGCACATCTGTAGTGCTGTGTCCAGTTTGGGGCTCTCAGTAAAAGAGACATGGAGCTCCTGGAGTGGGTTCAGCAAAGTTGGTGAAGGGTCTGGAGCATCTCTTCCGAGGAAAGTCTGAGGGAGCTGGGCTCTGTTCAACCTCGAGAAGAGAACTGAGAGGGGATCTCATCACTGTCAGCATCCAAAGGGAGGGTGCCAAGGGGATGGAGCCAGGCTCTGCTCAGGGGTGCCAAGCAGCAGAACAAAACGAATGGGCAGAACCTGATGCACAGGAAGTGCATCTTATATTCACCTGAACACAAAAAAGAACTTTCCTATGCAGGTGACCATGCACAGGAACAGATTGCTCWGASAGGCTGTGGAGTCTCCCTMTCTGCAGATACTCAAGAGCCATCTGGACAYAGTCCTGTGTCATGTGATCCAGGATGACCCTCCTTGAGCTGGGAGGTTGGACCAGATGACCCACTGTGGTCCTTTCCAGTCTTACCCACGCAGTGATTCCGCCATTCAACAGTAATCCATGCTCCCAATGTTGCACACTGAACGCAAAAAGTTATCTGTTAAACCTGTATGGTGATTAATAGGTGCTCCTCATTTTAATTTAAAAAAGCAAATG